CACAATAAATATTTGTTCACACTACCCTTTGTTGTTTATAAATAGAGGGATTTTCTCTCATTTTAAAACAACAAAAATTCTGAACTACTTCTTCTTCACAATTAAATATTCGTGTACTTTGCTTTTGTTGAGTGACTCACTTCACCATTGTTTTTTGTATCAATACACTGGTGAATAGAATCGTCCTATCCTGAGAGGATCTATTCCTTTAAACCTCGGGTACTAGAAGGGAATAATTTCTTAAGGGTACACATTGCATTTAGTGGGCTCGATTTTTTCCTTTCTATTTCATTCTATTATTACAGTTCCTGGTATTTTTTTTACAATCATTAATTTATGCTTATTTTATTGATTGTTATTTTTGAGTATATCTTTTAAACTTTGTTGTTTATGTTTCTTCAAAGTTATTGTTATAAGTATTTGTTAGTACATATTAAATAACACATGTTAATTGCGTATTCATGCAAGTTTTCTCTACTAAAATTGTTGAAAGTAGAGTAAAAGAATTCCTTAAAGATCTGTACTACCATAACTTGAAGACAAAATTCAAATTTGGTATGTCATTGTAAACACATAAAGATCTTAAAAACTTTATCGCACCTTGATGTGCGAAATGAACCAGGAAAAGAAGAAAAAAATTAATAAACTTTTGACATAAGTTCAAGGATGTGCTGGATGACCTATAGAGGAATATGACTAGGCTGCAACATCTTTTAATCCCAAAGAAATAGATAACTACACTATAAATTAATTGCTCATATTCAATATGAAGTATGGACAAATTTCTCAAGTTTACTGCAAGTTGTAGATACTTTTTTTGAAGTAATAGATGTGTTTACGACACTGTGATTGAATTAGAAGTGTAGTTTCAAATTGAACTTCAGCACTCTGGTATGTTGATTTTTAAAAAAACACCCAAACAAACTGAATAGTTTTGTGTAATATTTTTCCCTTTCAAGTATATATAATAAGTTGAATTGTTGTCCAATATGATACATTTCCCCTTTAATTTTCATTTTAATAATTACTTATGATACATTTAAATGGGAACTTTTAAAGTGATATATGTAAAACAAAAGGTAGTGCTGAACTTTCTACACGTTAAAATTAGAATATTTGTTCACTTTTTCTAACTTTTTACAATTTATTTATCTCTACACCAACGATTATTTATTTATTAGAATATTTAATGTTACCGGTTGATGCATTTGATTCCTGAAAGCAAAATGATAAATTATAAAATCAAATTAAAGATGATTGATTGAAGGATAAATGATAAGATGTTATAATTATCACTTTCTTTGTAGTGTTTTACTTTAAATGACTTATAGGTTATAAGTATTATTTTATAAATTCCGTAATATTAAATTTTTGCGCGGCGCGGGTAATATTACTATACATATATATAAAAGAATGTTTTGGTGGCAACATAAGTCGTTGCTAATACCTATAATAGTCGCTACTAA